AACCACTGAAGGATTACATGCACGCGGAGTGGGACGAGTGGATGAAGACCGGGGAAGCACTGTTTACTCCGGCTGGTAAACGCAAAGCCCCCGCCAAGAAGACAGTACTCGAGTGGGTCGTTTCGTCATGGAACAGAGTTCCCGCATCTACTGTGATAAATTCTTTTAAGAAGCCAGGGATATCAAATTCACTTGATGGATCTGAAGACAACTTAATTTATGAAGATCTAGAAACAGACGATGAGGCAGTTGGCGAAGAAATCGCTGAAATATTTTACAGTGACGACGATGATGACAGCAGCGACGACTTTCTAGGATTTTAACAATCGTGTGGTTTTCACACACAAACCAAACGGCCCTTTTCAGGGCCACCACATATTTCAAAAAGAGAACTACCGTACAAAAATACCATGTGTGCTTGTGTGTGTGTTTGTATGTATTTCAAATGATTATTCCTGACCTCTTTCACTTTACCAATCTTGACGCCAGAAATCAAAACAATGTCTCAATTTAGTGCGTGCATATCATTAACCCCTCATTTGCATATCTATAGAAAATGTCTTTCAAATTCAACCAAACTTATCTAATAGAAGCCGACCCCCGACTTTTTGTTTTTCAAGTGAGAAGGCGGAGATTTCCTTTTTAAATTAAGCCGCGGCCTCAATTAGATATTTTAGGGTAATAACGATGTTTTTTTTTGTATTTTACAATCAACATATCAAATATCAGTGAAAATAAATTTCATACAAAATTAATTCAAGCACAGCTTATGACAATAACACAATTTCTGGTGAATATTTCATGACTTGTGTACTTACCCTTCACTTGGATCTAACGCTAATGCCCTGGGTTCCTCTAAATCTTGCCAAAGCAGTACTCTTCTGGCAGATCCATCCAGTCTTGCCACTTCTATCCGATTTGTTCCTGTATCAGCCCAGTAAATATTATGGGCTACCCAATCAACTGCCATGCCTTCTGGGTATTCTAGGCCAAACTCAATCACATGCTCTAATGAACTACCATTCATGAAAGCACGACTGATTGCCTGTAATTAAACAACAAATAGGTTTAAAAAAATATATAATTTGTAGTGTCATGAGGCCTCATTTGAGAATTTGTCAGAAATGATGACAATACCTCAGTCGAGGAGAGTCAAGTGAAGGCAAGCATGAGAGTAAATTTATTCTATTACAGATAGATCACAAACAAATATTGCTAAGTAATTTCCATACCATATTGGCTATATCAGTAACACATGATCGAAATAAATACAACTTCAAGTACAAGACAAATCTGAAACACAGGGGTGATGTATAAATATGGCTATTCACCTTCCGTCTAATATCGGACCAGTAAATTCGATTATCGTTGATATCAAAATCCAATGCAGCCGCTTCCTTGACACCAGCCAGCGGAATAACAACATCATTATTGTTAGTCTCAAGAGAAATGCGTCGAATATCGGCACGTCTGGAAAAAAGGAGAAACGCTTCGGGTACGATGCAGGTTTTCTGGTCTTGGAGCAGCTCTAAACCAATTGGACAGGCACATATCACACCAATTGGTCGGTATAAACAGAGGTGGCTACATCCGCCATTGTCATGAGCACATACATTGGTACCTATAAGAAAAGATTGAGTGAACTTTAAGCTCAACATAACAAGCGTGTTAGAATTTTTGAAAAGATCTTGTGCAAATAACACCTCAGAACTGCATTAACTAATTTGAACACAATTTTTGCAAACTTTCAAACTCAACAATACTTCTATTCTCTTATTGAGGCTGTTTTCTAGTCAATCTCGTGCAGAAGTACTACATGTATTTAATACATGCCATAAACCTGAATAATAATTGTTAAATGCATGTTAGGTAATTATTATGCACACATTCAAACCAAAGCAAATCACTCATGCACCAAAATATCAAGGATTCTAATAATGTACATGATATATAACTATTTGGTATGCAAGGTAATTAACATATATGCTTTGAACCAATATAACTAAGCATGTCTGGGGGCATCCCAAGGCACTGACATAACAAATTTCATTTAAATCTATAAAGTGGTTCTATGAAGCACAGAAATTGACAAATTTCTGATTTGTACTTTTTGCATGTTAACAAAACAAGCAGTCAGTCAGCTGAGATAGCTCCGCTGTTAGCAATGCACATTTCAATAAAAGAACAGAAGATATCATTAGAAAATGAACAATATGT